GGAAGGCAACTTCTGTCCCAGGTGTAGCCCTGAGGATTCACCCGCTTTGGCCAGGAAACCTCTGCCTGAAGACCACCGAGCCCAGAGCTCACCAGGGACGCCTCGTCCCAACCCTGAGCTCCAAACGTTCTCCTCCGTTAGTATAGGGAGCACCTGGGGGCCCAGAGGCCTGCAAAGCGTCGCCTGTTCCCCTCCCTGGGGGCTGCTCTCCTTTGACAAGGGACAGAGCCCCTCCAGGAAGGGAGAAGGCCCTGGAGCCCCCCCCCCGCCCCGAGCACCTGGGACAGCCATGCGTGTCGCTTGGGATCTGGGGACAGCCCGGGCAGCCCCCTCCCCAGTACCTGGCCAGCTGAGACCCCGTACGCCGCCGGTAGCTGATGAAGACGTCCGTGCCCTCCAAGGCAGACTTCCGGCTGTTGCAGGGCAGAGGCGAGTGGAGCATCTCTGGGCGGAAGAAGGGAAGGAGCAGAAACAGCTGGATGGGGCCCTTCCGACCCCCCCAAAAGGCAGTCTAGGCTAGCCAAAGACATCCCCTCCAGCTTCATCTCCCCCCAAAAGACCAAGAACAATTAGGGGCATTTGTGGAGGTTCTCCAGTCACCCCGCTCACAGTTGCTTTTTCAACTGGACTCTCTGGTTTTCTTTGGAGACGTTTCGCTTCTCCTCCAAGGAGCCGCCAGGGTCCCAAATGAAGGACCCACAGCAAGCAAAGCTCCCAGGTAGGTGGATTCCTCCAAGAGTCGCTTCATTGGATGTATCATATTGGCCCAGGTCTGGTGAAAACCGACTCTGGAGGTTCCTGCAGTTTTCCCCAAATTAAAAGTAAACATGTGTCACTTTCTCATAGCGATCAGTCTCGCGGTCCAGTCGCAGTCTGGTTGCCTGGTGACATCACTCCGCCGTCCTCTGACCAGGTGTGAGAATGTCCTTGTTTCCCAGGAGAAAGGATTTTGTTTTGGCTACAAAATCCCAGCTATCTCGGTTGAGCCTCGGTGGTGCAGTGGTCAGAGTGCAGTACTACTTCTGCTGCCTGCCGGCTGCCTGCAATTGGGCAGTTCAAATCCCACCAGGCTCCAGGTTGACTCAGCCTTCCGTCCTTCCGAGGTGGGTCAAAGGAGGACCCAGATGGTTGGGGGCAAGAAGCTGTAAACTGCCTAGAGGGGGCTGGAAAGCCCCGTGAAGCGGTAGAGAAGTCTAAGGGCCCTTGCTCTTGCTATCTAAAATCCCCCCTCCCTGTCGCTCAGCTCCAGCGGGGCAACACTGAAGCGTCCAAGGTGCCTCCGATCAGGGCAGCTTCAGGGTAGACAGGAGCTTCTCCAGCTCTGTTGAAGCGGGACGTCCCGTGCTAGGAAACCCTGGCCTCATCCGGATCCAGTTTCACTTTCCAAGCCATGCCGGCAAAGTCCTGTGAACTGTTGCTGTGATGGGGGGTGTTGCCAGCTAGAGAGCTAATAAGGCGGTCGGATGTTTGGCAACGTTGTAGGTCACGGAGTTGAGGCTGCTGGCAATTGGTCTGAGTAGGGAGTCCCCCCTGGGTGGATTTGGGGAGGGGGGTCCCTACGTATATGGCGTGGCTTCCCCAGGGTCAAGACGGTCACGTGGCTTGTCAGTGGCATTGTTCTTCCAGAGGGGTCGCAGAAATCGGTGGCCCTTTTCTCGCAGGTGCTGGTGGGGCCCCTCTCTGGCGTCTCCCGGTTCCCCTTGGCCTTGTGGTCCTCCGTGTCCAGGGGGGCTGTGCACCTCCCTCCAGAAGCTTCTTGGGGGAGAAGCGAAGGGGCGTCGGAGGAAAACCAGAAAGTCCAGGGGCCTCTTGGGAGAAAAACACCTTCAGGACCACCGTTGGCCGCCACAGTCAGCTGAACCTGGGCTCCACAGGCCAGGAGCACCTGGGAGCCGAGTCCAGCCTCTCCTAAGAACAAAGGCTCTGGTGGGGGGGTCAATTGGGAGTCCTCCTGTGGGCAACAGGCTGGATTCAAAGACCCCCCCCAGGCCCCTCCCTCCCTCCTCCAGCACCGGAGGCTCAGGGAAGAGGCAGACAGGCTTCAGAGCCTGGAAATCTGGGGAGTCCTGGGGGGTCTGAGCTGCTGCTTGGCTGCCCCCACCCCAGTCACCCTTTGGAGACAGGCGTGTCTTGGCAGAAGGGACACACACACACACACACACACACAAACACACACACACACACACACAGGATCTGGGCTAACTGTGTGTGTGTGCCTCGACTTCAACTCCAAGCCCTGGGTAACCGGAGCCGGAGCCCAGCTGCAGGGGGGGGGGCAGCCGGCAAGGGTCTCTCCCCCCCCCCCCAACTTACCCCGGGCAGCAGAGAGGATTCGGACGCGGTGGAAACCCAGGCTGATGTGGCAGTCGTCCTGCAGCTGCTGCTCCGTGACGCGGTGGAGGAAGTTCCGGTCAATGCCGCAGGTGACCAGGTTGTAGGTGTACTGGCGGAATTTGGGGTCGACGCTGGCCAGCCAGTCAGCCAGGTTGCTGCGGTCGCAGGTGGAGTAGTTGGCGTAGGTCTTCAGCTCCGTCAGCTCCCGAAAGAACCTGCGGGAGTGGGGGGGCTCAGCCGGCGGGCCTGGTCCAGGCACCAGGCTGGAGAAACCAGGGGGCGGGGAGTTCGAATCCCGCCTGCCTGCCTTCCTACCGCTTCCGGGTGATGCTGGAGCTCATGGCCAGGTCGGACAGCAGGTCTTCCTCCGAGAGCCTCAGGAGCAAGTCTCCGTCCACCTGGCGCTCCTGCAGGGGGAGGAGGTTCCGGGGACCCTCAGCCTTCGGGCGGGATTGTCCAGGATGACGTCTTTCTCTCTTTCCCTCCTTCTCTTTTCCTTCCTTCTTTCCTTCCGTTATTTCTTTACTCAATTTCTATGTCATCCCTTTCCCTCCCTCCCTCCTCCTATAACCTCCCTCCTTCTTTCCTTCCTCCCTCCCTCCCTTCTCTTTTCCTTCCTTCCTTCCTTCCGTTATTTCTTTATTCAATTTCTACGTCACCCCTTTCCCTCCCTCCCTCCTCCTATAACCTCCCTCCTTCCTCCCTCCCTCCCTTCTCTTTTCCTTCCTTCCTTCCTTCCTTCCCTCCCTCCCTCCCTCCCTCTCTTCCTGTTTCTGTTTATATGGCCACCCCTGTAATTAGTCCCGGTGGCAAACAAACAAAAGCACGGCCAGAAACCCACCAGGCTCAGGGAGCAACCCAAGCTGAGCCCCACCGGAAGTCTCAGCCCCCCCGGCCCCCCCCCCCCACCCCACCCCCAGATTAGCATCTTGCATTCCCCCCCCCCCAATTCCGTTCCCTTCGTGGGCAGGAGAGGAGCCAGAGACGGGAGCCCACCCCTGAGTGGCTGGCCAATAGAGCACCCACCCATCCTTTGCCCATCACCCGTGGGCAGGGCTCCCCCTCCACTATCTCCCCCCCCCCGCACCCCCCCCCGGGACCCCTACCAGGAAGCGGGCACAGTACTTGACGAAGCCAATCTGCTGCAGCCACTTCTGCACCTCGGGGGTCTTCCAGTTGGGCACCGTGGGCAGGAGCCTCCGGGGCACTTCCTCGCCCATGGTGCACAGCGCCCGCTTGGCCAGCATGGAGGTGGTACCATTGGCCGAGTAGCAGACGATCCTCTTCAGGCTCTGGATGGCCCCGATCTCGGCAAAGATCTGGCGACATGAGGGGCACCGTCAACGCTCATGAGGCAGCCGGTTCCAGCTGCCCCAACGGGCACCTGTCCCAGGGGGGCCGGGTCTCAGCCCTGGAGAGCTGCTCATGCCACCGGAAGCAAGCTGAGAATATGGCAGCGGACGTTGGCCGAGACCTCCAAGGCAAACTTGACAGAGCGGGGGCTACTGAGACTGGCCTCGTCCCAGGATCTCCCGCCTCCCAGTCTCCAAGCCAGAAACTTTGGGGCAGCAGCCCCCTCAGAGCCACTAAGTAGATTGGTTCTCCCCTGCCCCCCCCCAGGTTTTGGAGTGGGGGTGGGCAGGGGAGGAGCCCAAAGGGGGGGACCTGCTCTCTTGGCACAGCAGGGGCTCCTCCCCCCCCCTATGTCTGGGTGTCTCTTGCAGAACTGGGCCTTTCGGCCCAGCCCCAGCCCTGCGTGTGGGGAGGGGGCTCAGAGGCTTCTCCTGCCCCAAGGCCTGGAGGGAGGCAACGGGCCCCCACCCCCCTGCCCCCCCACCCCATCCCACCCCGCCCTGCTGACCTCGGTCTTCTTCTGCCGGGCTTTAATGGCGGCCTCCACGCAGAGGTAGAAGGCAGCGATGCACTGGGCCTCCAGGCGGGAGCTGTCCAGCAGGGGCACCAGGCACTGCAGGTCGTCCGCCGTCCGGCCCTGGCTGTTGTCGCTGCTGCCCAGCCAGCTGTGGGTGAAGCGCCCCGGGTCGAGGGTGGCGATGAAGGGCTCCACCAGGGCCAGCGTGCCCGAGTTCTCCACCTCCTTCTCGATCTCCTTGTTGGTGGCCAGCACGGCAATGGCCAGGCAGGCCTGGAACTGGACCAGGTCATCCTCCTTGGAGAAGGCCAGCGGGAAGAGCCACTGGGCCGCCTTCTTCTCCACCATCCGCCGCTGGTTGGCCTGCCCGCCGTACATGGCGCAGTTGGCCAAGGCGGCGGCGCAGTGGCGAAGCACCAGCGGGTCGCTCCAGCGGCACCAGAAGAGGATGGCGTCCAGGCCCCCGTGGGCGATCAGCTGGAAGCAGGTCTCCTCCGAGTGCTTGAACATGTGTTCCAGGATGCCCGAGGTGCTGCGGGCCAACGGGAGGCTCTCCCGCTCCCTGGCCAGGCTCAGCACCACCCCCAGGCCGATCCGGGCCACGCGGTTCCTGCCGGGCGAGCAGGGAGGGGGAAAGGTGAGCAAGGGGCCCCCGATCTGCCCCCTCCAATGTCCTGAGACCGTCCAAGGCAGCCCCATCCCCTCTGCCCCCCTGCCCAGGGAGAGAAGGGGGGGCCGAAGGGTCCCCCAGGGGTGGAGACTCTGGAAAGAGGGCAGAGAAGAACGGTGGCAGGAACCGGGCAGGGCTAGGGAGGAGCGGGGGCCGGGGGGACGCGAGAGCAGCCTTCCCACATCTGAGGGGCTGCCCCAGAGAAGGAGAGGAGGAGGGGGGTCCAAGCTCTCCCCCAAAGGCAGGACCAGGAGCAACGGGTGGAAGCTCATCGGGGAGAGAGAAGCAACCTGGAATGAAGGAGGGATTTGCCGACAGGGAGGACAATTGAACACCTGGAAGAGACGGGACAGCCCTGTGTCTGGAATGGTCGAGGCTTTCCGGCCTCCGAAGTCCCTTCCAGCTCTCTCGTTTCCCCAGCTAAGCTCTGACCAGATCAGCCCAGGATCCACGACAGGGCAGCGCGGACTGCAGAAGGAAGACCCGGCCTGTTCTTGCGTCAGTGGGGGAGAATGGGACGGGGTCTCCCGCTTGGGCGGGGGCTTGGACTAGGCGGCTTCCCCCTCGGAAGGGCCTTTGCCTCCTGGGGGGTCACATCAGCCAGCCCCAGCCTTGCCTCCCGCGCAACCTCCCAGGTGAGCTCAGCTTCGGGTGACTCAGCCCCAAAGGGAGAAGGGGGCTGGCGTGGCCGTCCTCCTGGAAACTGGCTTGATCTCTTTCTGCAGGCCAGATGGCCCGGAGCCTCCAAGACGATCCCATTTCTCAGACATCCGCACAATCGATCGGTCCCTGAACCGCACGCACCATTTTATTTTGAGAAAGAAAATCAGGAAAAAAGCAGCATTTGATACCAGAAATTTACCTGTGAGTCTTCCCAGTCTCTTCCTTTTCCCGTCCTTCCTTTCCTCCCTATGCGCTCTCTCTCTCTCATCTCTTCTTTCTATTATCTATTTCTCTCTCTCTTTTTCCTTCTAATACCTCCCTATCTCTACCCAACGCAGGGACTACCCATGGTGCTCTCTTGCAGGGCCTATTGGTCTCAGAGCATGAAGTCAGAAGTCGGGGAGGGGCCCACCGTCCTTAAGGGGAGCTGGAGGGGCGGATGGCTCTGGTCCCCCCCCCAACCCTCTGGCTGGCACACTCCCATCTCCCCGACGCCTGAGCTGGGAGGGGCCCCAAGGCAGCCAGCCTCTCAAGGGGGCCCTGCAGACTTGCCCTTCTCCTTCCAGGCTCCCCTGGAGCCCCCCATGGATGCCTCTGCTTTGGGGGCCGAGATCCGCCTTGCCAAAGAGGCCGGGGGTGGGCAGTGAGGAACCCCCAGACCCAGCCGGAGGAGCCCTGGGACCAAGGGGGGCCTGCTGCTGCCCCAGAGAGAGGGCTCTCCCCACCAGCCATCCCCGTGCTGTGTAGAACGTAGAGGGAGGCCTCGGCTTACAACAGTTCGTTTAATGGCCAACGTTACAGCAGCGCTGAAAAAAATGACTGAGGGCTGCTTTTCACACTTAGGACCATAGCAGCCTCCCCTGGTCCCCTGGCGTGACTCATGACAGTCGCTGTGTCCTGGGGGGGGGGGGTGTCATGTGATCTCTCTCTCACACACACACACTGGCCCAGCCCTCTTTGCCCAACTGAAGGGTCGTCCCCCACCCCCACCCCCCGAAGGCCGGGACGATGCCGGGAACAAGGAGGTGCCCTGCTGTCTCTGAGTGAGTCACAGCTCTGCCTTCCTTCTTATGCAGGCCCCTGAGAGGAGGGGGGTGGGGGGGATTTTAGGCTGGCTGGACTCCAGCTGGCTGGACACAAGGCAACAAATAACAGAATAAAAGAGTTGCAAGGGCACTTGGAGGTCCTCTAGTCCAACCCCCTGGTCAAGCAGGAGACCCTCTACCATCTCAGACAAGGGGCTGTCCAGTCTCTCCTGAAAAGCCTCCAGTGATGGAGCAGTCGCCACTTCTGGTGTCAAGGAGTCCCACTGGTTAATTGTCTTCACTTAGGAAGTTTTTCTTTAATTCCAGGTTGCTCCTCTCCTGGATGAGTTTCCATCCGCTGCTTCTTCTCCTTCCTTCAGGGGCTTTGGAGAATAAATTGACACCCCCGCCCTTCTTTGGGGCAGCCCCTCAAACACCGGAAGGCTGTCACTTCTTGTCATCTCTCTTTCTTCAATGACACCCAACTCCTGCAACCGTCTATGATATGTTTTAGCCGCCAGGCCCCAAATCGCCTTCGTTCCTCTTCTCTGCACCCTTTCCAGAGTCTCAACAACATCGTTGTATATTGTAACTTCTCTCTCTCACACACACACACCCCTTTAGAGTCTAAAGCGGGGTTCTCCGACCTTGGCAACTTTAAGCCCGGTGGACTCGCATCCCAGAATTCTGGGATTCCGCCAGCCTTAAAGTTGCCAAGGTCGGAGAGCCCCGGTCCCAAAGCGAGCAAGCAAGCAAGAAGCATCCGCGCAGAAGGCCAGGCGGACAGGCAGCCTTGCGCCGAGAGAAGCCGAGGCTTCCTGCAGCCAAAAACAGCGGGCAAAAGAGCGACCTCATGGGGGGGGGGGGGGTCTCCCTTCCACGAAGAAGCGCCCCTCCCTCGACCTGGCCCGGGAAGGACGCAAGAGGGCAGCCCTTACAAAGAGATCCGCCTAATCCCCCCCCCTCCGCCAGCTGAAGGGGCCCCCGTCCTCCCCCGCGCGTGGGCTGAGGCTGCGCTGCTCTTTAGGATCCCCGGCCGGCCGCGCCGCGCGCTCACCTGTTCTCGGCCACCAGCACCTGTTCCAGCAGCTCCGCCGCGCGCTGCCGGCTCTCGGGCTCCGCGCCGCGCAGGAGGTCGAGGAGCAGGTCGAGGCCGCCCTCCAGGCGCAGCGCGTCGCAGAGCCCCTGGGCCACCGGGCGGCCCACGGCCGGCAGCCCCCAGGCCTCCTCCACCAGCGCCCGGATGGCGCCCAGCCGCGCCTGCAGGTCCCCCGGCCCGGCCGCTTGCTTGGCGGCCGAGACGGCCTGGTGCAGCTCGGGCAGGCTCCGCTCTAGGGCCGCCTGGATGGCCGAGCCCAGGCCGGGCGGGAGGTCGGCGCCGCCCAGGCCCTCCGCCCACCAGCCCGCGCCGCCCGCCGACGCCGACGCCGCCGGCTCCGGCATGGCCAGGCGGCACAGCTCGTAGGCCGAGAGGAGCAGGCTCAGCACCATGGGCAGCGGCGGGGCTCCCTCCGCCCGCTTGGCGGCAGCGGCAGCCGCAGCTAGGACGGCGGGGGCGCCGGGCCGGGCCGGGGATGCCGGGGGCGCAGCCTGCCTTCGCCTGGGGCTGCGGAGGATGCCCGCCGGGGCCGCGCTGCCATCCCACCGCCGCCGCCGCCTTGCAGCGCTCCCATGATGTCACCCACCGCCCTCCCTCGCGCGTGCCCGCTGGCGAGAGCGCGCCTGAGTCCCGCCCCGGTCCTGCCCGGTGGGGGGGGGGGGATGGAGCGCGCGGGGAAGAGAGGCAGCGGCCGCGACCCCCGGCCCCCCCCCCCCGGCCTCTCAGACCCTCGGAGCGCTGATGGGGGGGGGGGCGTCTCTCCTCCGCCCCCTCGCCCCTTCCTCATGGGGGGCGGCCCCGCGGCCCTTGGCAGCCGGCAGAGCCCAGGGCGACTTGGCTCGGTTTCTTCCTCCAGTCACTTAATTTACGTTAATTTATCTCTCGGGGCTGGAGGCGACTCGGAATGGCTGACGGTGAAATTAACAGACAGAACAATGATAATTATAACGCATTGACATTAGGAGAGGTTAATTGAAAGGGAGGGGCCCTGGCTGTTCCCGGAGGCTGCTTGCTTCCTTGCAGACCTTTTGTGGCCAAAACTAGGTAACATCCTCAGGGGGAGGAGGAGGAAGAGGAAGAGGAAGAAGAGGAGGAGAAGGAGAAGGAAGAAGGGGGAGGAAGAGGAAGGAGGAGGAGGAGGAGAAGCAAGGAGGAGGAGAAGGAAGAGGAGAAGGAGAAGAAGGGGGAAAAGAAAGAGGAGGAGGAGGAGAAGGAAGGAGGAGAAGGAGGAGGAGAAAAAGCAAGGAGGAGGAGGAGGAGAAGGAAGGAGGAGGAGAAGGAGGAGAAGCAAGGAGGAGGAGGAGAAGCAAGAAGGAGGAGGAGGGGGAAGGAGGAGAAGGAAGGAGGAGGAGGAAGAGGAAGAAGGGGAGGAAGAGGAGAAGGAGGAGGAGGAAGAGGAGGGGAAGGAGAAGGAAGGAGGAGGAGGAAGAAGAAGAGGAGGAGAAGGAAGAAGGAGGAGGAAGAGGAAGAAGGAGGAGGAAGAGGAAGGAGGAGGAGAAGGAAGAAGGAGGAGGAGGAGGAGGGGAAGGAGAAGAAGGAAGGAGGAGGAAGAGGAGGGGAAGGAGAAGAAGGAAGGAGGAGGAAGAGAAGGGGAAGGAGAAGGAGGAAGGAGGAGGAAGAGGA